TACTGAGGTAGTGACGACATAACTGTTGGCACGTGGCCCAGTTATCTCAAGACGACTAGTTAGGACATCGCTTCCTAACATTGTCCATGTGACATCAAGCTCTACCAGTCCATTGAATCTGGTTACTTGGACTTCACTCTATGTACATAGCTACATATAAAATTTTTGAAAATTAGGCTGAGGCTCTCCCAGTTAGCAGTCAGAAGCTACTGCTGACCATGGACCATGCTGCATGTGATGCAATGCATTACTGTACGAATGAAGGGCCCACTGTGACCACAAGTACCAGTGGCAGATCTCCATCCAGTGGCCTGAGACTTAGCCTTGTGACCACCCTCTCGTAGCCTGATTGAGGGCAGAATCAGGCTAGAGAGGCTGGTAGATTTGTCGTGGGAACTCGGTATACGCGACTTAAGTCGCATGCCGAGAGCCAGCCGTGCAAGCCGACACAGCCAAAGACCACCGAAGGCTGCCGATTGTAATGGTTGTCGGGTTTTGTAGTCGAGTAATAAAAATTTGTAGTTGAGTAGAACCGTTGTAGTCGAGTAAGAAACGTTGTAATCCCACTACAAATCGCGGTAGCGTGACCTTGATGTGTCTAAGTCCCACTACGCGTAAGGATCAGCTTGCCTCCATGCTCACCTCCTCATATTCTACTAGCTCCGTATAATGAATATAGCTCGTATAAACTCTCTTCTGCATGAAATTGGATGCCCAGTGGGGAGCCATCGAGAATGTGCAGAGCGGGCCAGTATTTCCTCCGCAGTGTTGGGCATCTGATGTCTGTTAGACATTATGGTCAGAGATGCAGATATGTACTTGTGGCGACAAGCAGGCTGAGGCAAGTGTGCTCAACAGATTCTAAGTCAAACCCGCGAGGATCGAATCACATTTGTAGACCATTTCTTACTCGATCTCGATCGTCTGCAGGGCAGGCTCAAATACATGAGGGCAGGCTTAAAGTACATGAGGGCAGGTATATTTTACAATCTCAGCTCAAAAATGACAGCAGCTGCTGGGCAAAATAGAGTTAAGTTGCGTATACCGGATTCCCACGCCAAATCCACCAGCCATTCTACCAATATTCTGCCCTCAATGTTGGTACGACAGGCTGGTCACGAGCCTACCTGAGACTCAGTGACCCTTGAACTTACACCAATTGAGTCTCCCAAAACAATAGACAAACCCCAATATACATAAATCATGCATACAGGGAACACACTGATGGATTTCCAATATTTTTTATTGTTAATGACATGTATGGTTGAGTGGACCTCCCATCTGACTGCATTGGACACACACTATGTGATGCTTGCCTCCGGCTTGCATTTTCATTATTTAACACAAATTACACAATTACACACTCACATCCCCCCAGGCAGACTGGGGTCCATGGGTCCATCCGGCTGATAGGCAGAGGTCCATCATGGACTCCATGGACTTCTCAGATGCTTGAGCAGCTAGCAGCGGCTCCTGGATCTGGACCAGGAGCATTATGTGAGGTACCAGTACTAGGAATGTCTACAAATAGGGCAGTGACAAAAGTGACAAAAACATATTATCTACAGTAAATCAATTCTGGGGGGGTTGTTGATTTGTAAGCAAACAACCCGGGGTTGTTGCTCTCAGGTTGCTGATTAGAATTATCCATTTTCAACGCTCCTAGAACACAGAAGAAAGAATACAGACAGTGATGAATGATTCAGTGCTGTACTTTCTTTGGTGCTCGGACATCTGTTGTAATAGAGTGTGTACTGCACCTCTGTAAACTCTCAACTATCTCTTCACATGCGACCGTATCTGATATCTCATGATCTTCCCGCCAGCTTTGGGTCCTCTCGTGGGTGATGTCCATGCGTGGCTCCTCCACCGATGACACAAACATCTCACCCAGTTAACCAGCAATGCAGGAAGGATCTCCAATGCTCTCTCGCTGCCAATGTCTCATTTCCACTAGAGTGCGGTGAATAATTCGTCAGGACTTTGTAACATATGTTAATAACATGGCACGCTCCGAAGCCCTTTTTAACAGGGTTATTAACAGTTAATAACATTTGGTTTGAAACGGGTTAATTACACGTTAAAAAGACATATCGACATTGTCAAAAACACTTGTGCAGTTTAAAAAGCCCGGTAGGCCTCCACTGCACTCTCCGGGAGCTGTTTGACGTGCACTCTGCAAGCTGAAGTACATTAGGGGGTCTTTACAACATGATGTCCCAGTGATATTTGACTTACGGGTATGGTCCTCTACCGGTGCATGGTGGATTCCAGGCTACCGATAGGGGGAGTTTTTAACACCCAAATTGGCCTTGCCTAGAGGGGTCTGTTGATAACCTGTTATTAACAGCAGTTTATAACAGTGTAAATAATGAGCGACTTTTACACCGCACCCTAATTTCCACAGCGGCGTGATCTAATCTACGGTCGGCGAAAAATCGCGGTTGCCGCGAGATTGCTGTTCTGACCAATGAGGGGGCGATTATATGAGCAGGACCCCATGACCGCCGATTAGAGGCGGTCGAGGTAGTCGGGTTCACGGAATTCTCCAGCTGATGCCCCCTGCGGGAGACAAAGGAGGAGGCGCGGATTGGATGGCGATCGCCGTGCCTGGGGTAAAATGCCGGCCACGTGGCTCGTATGTCGAGATCTGCTCCAGATCTCCGGGGTTGACTCCCTCCCTCTGCTCACGAGGAGTTTGTTGACGAGTATTTTATCAGCCTTACTCTGTGAAGACTCCGGCAATGGCAACTATACCGGACGTGACTATGAGGAGCAAGAGGAGATAAGGGGAAGGTCGAACGGGCCGAAGGACGTTATCTTATCGCGTGACCCCGCACGCACCCAACAACATCAGTGCTGCTACTAAACTCTGCACCGGCCTCTTCCTCCTTCCCTCCTCTCCCTCGACGCCAGGATGTCCCGCCTGCCCGCGCCCGAGATCCCCGTCCCCGAGCACGACACTGAACTCGCGGTGGACACGAAGGTCCCGGCGAGCACGAGCACCGGCGAGGTCGTCGAGGAGATCGGCATCGACGAGCCCGTCGTGACGCGGAAAGAGCTGTGGAGCTACTACCGTGCGCCCCCTTCCTCCCTCGCCAGTAGCCCCCTCACCTCTGGCAGTGTACTACAACGGCGACAACGGCGTCGGGCCGAACGGTACGCCCTCCCCGTCCGAGCTAAACTAACTGCGCCACCCACCCAACTTGCAGGCTACTCGATGACGCTCTTCCAGTCCTGGGCGACCGCGGCCGGCTACGACCCCGTCGCCGGCGCGGGCAGCTCGTGCACCGCGCCCGGCGCCAGCGGCAAGTGCGTTGTCCCCTGGGGGCGCGGCGTGCGCTCCGTGAGCTCGGTCGTGCTCATTGCGAACGGGCTGTGTTTCGCGGTGCGTCGCGGCCTCCTCCTCTTCCTGTACATGCTGAGATCTCACGATGCCCCAGGTGATGACCCTGATCTTCACGACCATCGGCTCCGCCGCGGACTACGGCACCTTCGGCCGCTGGCTCCTGCTCGTCGTGACCGTCATCTGCTGGGCCGCCCAGTTCGCGAGCATGGCGCTCACCTGTGCGTCTTTTTCCTCCCCTCCCTTTCATCCCCAATTAACCCCCGTCCCCAGCCGCCGCCCGCTGGCACACCGCCATGGCGCTCTACATGCTCGGCTTCATCGCCTACGGCGCCACCCTCGTCTTCTACGCCGCCCTCTTCCCGCGCCTCGCGCGCAACACCCCGCGCGCGCGCCTGCTCCGCGACAAGTACGACCGCGGGGAGGTCAGCCGCGAGGAGTGGGAGCGCGAGGAGAGTCTCGAGAAGAATCGCGTCAGCAATATCAGCACGGTGAGTGTTTGGGTTGGGGGGAGGGGTGGGATGGGATGACGCTGATGAAATTGGGCGGACAGACGCATAGCAATATCGGGTACATCGCGACGCTGTGCCTCAACCTCTCCCTCCTCCTCCCGCTCGCGAACGACCCGAAGGTGAACAATTACGTTATCGTGCTGTACGTCCTTCTTCCCTTGTCCGTCCCTCGTTCCCTCCCTTTCTCCTTCCTCCCTGGTTCGGCCTGTGCCTTGCTTGCCGTCCCCGGTCCGCGCTTGCTGACTGCAATGACAGCACGAACGGGTACTGGGTGCTCACCGGGATCTGGTGGTGTACGTCCCCTTCCCCTCCCTCCCCTTCCTCTCTCCCTCCCATCCCATCCCCTCCTCCCTCCGCCTCCCTCCCCCACAAAAATCACCCACTAACCGCCCCCCCCAGTCATCTTCCAACAACCCCGCCCCGGCCCGCCCCTCCCGGCCGGCGAACACTACCTCACGGTCGGATGGAAGCAGATCGGAATGGCAGCAAGGGAGTGGCGCGGGCTGCCGTACACGTTTGTCTATCTGTTCGCGTTCTTTTTGTTGGCGGACGTGAGTTTCTTTTCCTTTCCTTGCTTTTCCTTTCCCCTTTCTCTCACCCCTTCCCCTTTCCCCTCCCCCCTCCCCCTCCTCCACCGTTCGAAACGAAGGGAACGGAAACGGCACCGAAAGCAACCAAAGCTGACGCTCAACAGGGCCTGAACACCACCGGCACGCTCGTCTCCCTCTGCCAGAACACCAAGTTCTCCTTCTCCTTCTTGCAGAACACGTACCTCGGGCTCGCGCAGGCGGGCACGAGCACCGCGAGCACGCTCGCGTTCTGGTACGTCCAGCGGTATTGGCGGGTGAGCACGAAGCGCATGGTGAGTGGGTTTGGGTTTGGGTTTGGGCTTGGGTTTGGGTTTTGGCGGGCGGGAGTGGGTGCGGGTGCGGGTGTGGGTGCGGGTGGTGGGATACGTGCTGATGATACGTGCGTCGGGTGCAGTTCGTGGTGACGAACGTGGTCACGATACTCATCCCGCTGTGGGGCATGATCGGGATGTGGACGGACAAGATCGGGTTCCACAACGCCTGGGAGTTCTGGTGCGTTGGCCCTGCCCTCCCCCTCCCCCCTCGCACCCCCGCATGACGAATGGAACGAAACAGGTTCTACAACGTCGTCTTCGGCCTCTTCCAGGCGCCGTACTATGCCTTCTCGCAGACGATGATGGCGGAGCTCACCCCGCCGGGGTTCGATAACATGGTGCGTGCCCTCCCCCCTCCCTTCTCTCCCCTCCTCCCTCCCTCCCTCCCACATACAACCCCTCCCTCCCCCCTCGCACGTTACACGTACAACCCCTCCCCTCCCCCTGCCCACGTTACACATACAACCCTGACCCCCGCCCCCCCCCAGTTCTTCGGCCTCTTCGGCCTCTCCAACCGCGCGTCCTCGATGGTCGGCCCGAACGTCATCCAGGCCATCATCAACCGCACGGGCGACAACTGGCACGGCTTCCCCTTCCTCTTCGCGCTCTGCGCCGCCGCGTCGCTGGTGATCTGGTTCGGCGTGGACGTCGAGCGCGGGAGGCGCGATGCGGTGGCGTGGGCGGAGGGGCGGTACGGTGAGGGGAGGGGGGAGGGGAAGGCGTGAGGGTTGCGAGGGCTTGGGTTTGGGTTTGGGTTGGGTTGGTTGTTGGATGGGTTTTCTCTATTGGTCTTGTGATATAATGCAATACGCGCATTTCGCGATCACGCATCTCGTAACACTCGGCGTGACGGTCAGTATGCGTACCGATACATTACATCCATAAATACCGCGATCATGACATCTAAGCCTACCACCCCCCGCCCGCTCCCGACACTCAATCCCACTGCACCCGCCGCGCGTACTCGCGTATGTTCGACACGAACTGGTCTTCCACCTCCGCCCCCGCGCCCGTCGCCACCTTCAATATGATCTCGTTCAGCGCCGTCGAGCCGAGGATGTCGACGTGGTCGCTCGTGTTCGCGCCGCCGCGGGGGATGCTCGGGATCGGGCGGTGCGGGAGCTACAAGCGGTGAGTGAGCGAGTATTCCTCGGGAGGAGGAGTGGGAGGAGGAGAGCGCACCTCGACGGTGACGACCTTGATCCCCGCGGGGTTCCACCGCTTCCGCTTCCACCCCTCCACGCACATCGCGCCGAGGCTGAGCAGGCTCACCGTCCCGTCGCCCTCGCCCATCTTCACGCCGTTCCGGATCTGCGCGCCCCCACGTCAGCCAGTCCGACCAGGCATTCCGGAGAGCAGGGTACCTTGGGCTGCGCGGCCTCGTCCGTGTACTCGGCGTCGATCCAGCTGCGCCGCATGAGCGGCAAGTCGAGCGGCGCGCGCGGGGTGAGGCAGTCGGAGGCGTTGGAGCACATCGCGTTGCTCCCGTCGGGAGAGGACTCGTCGTGTTCGAACTCGCCTCTCGCGTACCTGGTGCGGGACGTTACTCACGGCTAGGCCTCGCTCAGGAAGGAACGTACCAGTAGGATCGCTGTATAGAAGAAACTAGTTTGTAGTTGCAGAGGCGCAAGGTAGGTTGAGACACGTACCTCTGTTTCTTTGCCGTGTCCGTAAACGCAGTAATACTTCATGGACGGAGCATATGGGAGTCTGGGCGTTTGTCAACACTCCGCGACCAAGCGCGGATGCCGCAGACTCACTGGACCTCGAGCGGATTAGTCCACTTTCTATGATCAAGGTTATTCCTCGCAAGCTGCTCTTCATCTCTCTCAATCCCGTTCGAGTAGTTAGTCGCCATCATTTTCTACGCATCGTAAGCCTCTAGATCGTCCGGACGCAGGACAACGAGCGCACCTGGAACGTCGTAGGTGTGTGCTCCAATACCCACGTCCCCGCCTGGTCCGCGGTCATATTCCCAACCTCCAAGTCCTGCGTCGTAGCCAGCGCGTGGCGGAACGCGATGAGTTCGCCGTGTGTATGGGACGCATTCTCCGCATCGTCCGGGGCGAAGGTGCCGTTTCCCCACACGGCATTTCCGCCCTGCATGATAGCGATGGTCCGAATACGATACCGTACGAAATGTAACGAGCGACGTACCTTTACCCACATACTGGCGCTTCCTGGCCAGGAGCGGAAGAGCTTGCCTCGCTCCTTTCTCGAGAAGAAGCGTTCTAGCACTACGGGTAATATCGCGCATGTAGGTCTTGACCGGTTGATAGTTGAATATCACACACCGTATGTGGCAGCGGGATTCATCTGGACCGTGTCCTTCATCTCTCCTGATAAGAAAGCAGCCATCGCTTTTGCCTACGAAATATTCTAAGTCGTGTCGTAGGAGTAAAATCGGATGACACCCACGACGCCCTATCGTTTTCAGTGAACAGGTGAATCATGGGGTATGGAATGTCACGACTAGCTCACCAGATGAGTTCCGGCCACGGAAATAACAGCCTCCACATGGTTCTGCGCGCATAAGATTAGCCACTGATAACGGACTGTCCTATGAACATACTTCGACCCATTCAGATCCACCTCCTCCATGGTGCGGTGACTCGACCCATTTAAAGCTATTCAGAGCAAGTTACAAAGACATAGGTGGAGAGATGCCGAGAACAGAAGGACGGCATACGTACAAATACTGAGGGAGACCTGATTAGCATTGATGCAGCGAAACCTGCGAAACTGCGTACCAGGAGAACCTGTAGAAAAGATGTTCACAGCGATCAGGTTTCACGGCACACAAGCCAAATGAAAACGTACCGTGCTGCCCATGGAATGAGCCGTCAAGACTACTTTCCGTCCTTGTCGTTTCCTGAGAGTCTGTGTCGGTCAGGAGTGCGCGTGAAAGACGCAGTGCTCACTTGAAACCCTCTATCATCGCTTTCAGTTTCGAAAAGTATCCGTCCCTTTCCTCTAGATTATAGTATGATAGTCGCCAGTCGTACGGTGCCAAGTATAGGTTGTTGGTATCATAGTTGACCACAGCCAAATTCTCTACGATTTTTGACCTGCAGGGTAGCAGTGAGCTTCGTGTCTTCCAGCTGGAAGGCAATCCAAACCAAATCCAATATCCGTGTATAAAACTACTTGCAGCGTCAATCCCTTCTGCAGCTCTGACCTTTGCGCCAGCGGGATCGAGGCCGGTGACTGGATCAAGCATCAAGGCAGCCATCCATTTGTCTTTGTTGAAGGTCACTTGTTGGACCATGTGGAAGCCGCCCCACATTTTCTGTCTAAAAAAGGTGCGGTACTCGGGTGATGTTGACCACGATTCCAGACCCTTGGACACATTCAAGTTTACTGAACCTTGGGGCAGAGCAGGATAGCATTGCGTGACGTACAGTGGATATCACCCCAGGGATCAGTACGACCGGGTACATAGCACTTAGCCCTCGCGCAGCCATCTGGTCTCCAACCTGGAACTCGCGGCCGTCGTTATTCAGTTTCCATATCTCGGGTATATTGCTCGTGAGCCTCCGCCACTCCGTCTCAACCCTAGACAAGTCGAGTTGTGGGAACTCTGGTAGAGAGATGTCGTATTCACTCAAGAGGACGGCTAGACTGGCGGGGATGTCTGGGATGTCGACCGGTTTGATGAATATGAATCCCAGCAGGAGACCGACTGATTCATCAAAGGTCAGGTGGATGGCAACTCTCGGTCAGGTATGGGGACGTACCAAAGATGCCTAGAGGGAATAGGAACCTTCGACTAGTAAAGAAGTTACGGTATTTCGGATCCTCCTATAGACAGAACCAGCGTTAATGCTCGCCTCAGGTTCGCACTAACCGTAAGCCCTACTCACCTTCCGGAGCTTCTCCTTCACCTCCTTCGCCTCCTTCTTCAGCTCGTCCTTAATGGCGTGCAGCTCACCATCGCCGTCTACATCTCTGCTCTTCGCCTTTAACCCATCAACTGCGGAATCCGAGCCTACTCTCGAGCTCTTCCTCCTCCTCGTCATGGTCGATTTTCCTACGTTCATGCCAGTCATAGCCTAGTCGTTCTTGTCGTTACGCTGGCGTCGTCAGCGCCGATCTAAGTACAAAGGAGGCGTCTAGCAAGAATCAGATGCAACTGTAATACAGAAGAAGCATTCGGAGCGGAGCGTAAGCTACGACGCGTGAAGGTGACGAAACCGAAGACGTCCGCAGGCGCGTCGCGTTGCATGCACGTGTACAGGCAGATCATTCAGCAGATGCACGGCGCCCACTGGGACCCACAACGCCTGAACTGACAGGGCAGATCATTGGAAGTAAAGAATTATATTAGGTAGCAAGAATCCGAGTGATACACAGGAATAGGACGTGAAGGTATCCGCTTGTCCACCTACGTAACGTACAACAATCTGAACAACCGATTGAGACCCGTAATAAAAACGAGAGGTATCGCACAGTTGGCCGTAGCAGATTGACAAAGGAAAGGAGGAATGTTGAACTAAGAACATATAAGCAATATATACGCAGATAACATATTAGCGGGCTCGTGGGAGGCACCAGCGGCCTCTTGTGTATACCGTGAAGGAGGTAGGTGTCGCGACATCTGAGGCTAGGATGAGTACATGTATCGTGGCGTAACAAAGCACTGTAGAATAGCCTACCGTCTGGGCTAGCAGATTCCGTCACTACGTCGTCTTCGTTTTCTTCCTCTGCGGCGCTTCCTCATTCACAGCCATCACAACAGTCGCGTCCTGCCCAAGCTTCGACTTGCTGGGCGCCGCTCTACTCCTCGGCTTCATCGACCCCTTCACGCTCTTCACGTTCGGCTTCGCTGACGACGTCGACACCACGGACATCGCGTCCTCGTTGTCGGACTTTGTTCCCTGCTCTTTCGTCTGAGCCAATGCCTTGGGCCTGGGCTTACGGACGGATTTATGTGACTTGACAGACGCGGCATCGCTGTCTATGTCCATGTCTTCGTCTTTTTTCTTCCGAGGCCTGCCAGGCTTACGTTTGGGCTGATCGGATGATGGCTTTGCCTTGCCCTTTGACTTGTCGACCACGCTGCCGGCGGCACTCCCCTCCTTCTCCCGTAGTTCTCCTGCAAGACTATCATTGGTCCCATCGCTCTCAGCATCGCTCGCGCTCCGCATTTCTTGGTCTTCCTTGTCCCTAGTGGACCGACGACGTTTCCTGAGTCGTCCCGGGCTATAATTGTCCGCAATACGTGACCGAGGGGACGACGTCGGCGTTGACGCGCGGGGTAACTGGGAGCGGATGCCGTGGCAGTTCAGCTTGTAGCAGGAAATGAGCTTGTCGTCAGTGGGGGTTGAGTCTGCGCGGAATCTCGCGCGTTTAATGTCCGTCTTTTACCGGTCAGACTAGGGAAGTGATACATAGTCGGAATCTCCGTACCGTGTGTTTCCCCTCGTAGCACCAGCCATCCGGCGGGCCCATGTCGCCATCCCCTTCCACAGTCTTTCCGCAGCAGCCCCACAGTGTCTCGTAGCCGCCTGTACCTGCAGCGGCACGTCCTTTGCCCTTCGCACCAACCCTCTCGACCTCGGCACTATCATCATCGTGCGCTATCAAGCAGCTCCGATCGTCGTTCTCGACCTCGGTGTAGTCTTTATGACACCGTACGCAGTGCAGAAGCGGCGGCGGGGTCAATTCCGAAAAGAACGTATGGAGAGACGAGACAATCGACGGCTCCGAAGCGGGTATGCGTTTCAGCGTGTACGCGTGCAGAGTCTTCGGCGGGACAGAGGATATGAGAGATAAGAGCGCGTCCGTGTCCACGCTCGTCGACGCGATGGCGTCTTCCACCACCTCCGGCGACGGAAGCACCTGCGCGCCGTCGTTGTCCATGCGTTTCGGCGATTCCTGGTGAGCACCGTGAGCGACGGACGCTGCCTCGGACGGCGAGGGTGTGCGCAACTGCACCGGTGTAGTCTCCGGCGGCTCCCCGGGCGGCGCTGGCGCCTGTTTCTTTCCAAATATTAGTCCGAATACCATGTCGCGGTTGTGAAGTGATAGGGGATCGCGGCGGCGGCGGGGAAAGATATAGCGGAAGAAGAGAGCAGCGCGATTGCAGCAAGGCTTGGGCCCGCACGTGGTCCATGCGTGGGAACCGCGCCTCGCGTCAATAGCGCGTCGGTCACGGAGCGTCACGCTATTGTCACGAAGAACCGTCACACAATTGGATGCCCATTTATAGGCGACCACATACAATGGCTGCTGAGACGCGGTTGCTTTGCTCTTTGGCCCGCTTGGACGCCACTCAACAGGCTAGCGACAATGGAGGAGATACAGGAACCCAACAGGGCTGACCTGGTGAAGCCGCCCCCGCGGTTCCCTCCGTTCCCCAAGCCTCCGGAAGGCGTGACTATCATACCTTTCAAGGACTTCAAGCCGAGTGGTATACAGATACGTATCGCGGGCGAAGGTCAGGTGGAGATCGACGGGCTGGGTATACCTACGGTCGAGCTGCGCGTCAAGCACGATGGAACTGATGGACATGGCAAGAAGCGGAAGAAGAAGAAGAAGAACAATGCGTTCGCCGGCGGTCCTGGAAACCTCCAGAGGCCTTGGTGGGAGGTCTGGGAAGAAGGCGAAGCTCTGCGCTGCGGATATTATGACTTGTGAGCATCGAGACCTAACCAGCAGGAGGACACAGTCTGATCTCACGATCTACGTAGGGAGACGTCCATATCCGAACGGATCTTCCTAGCATCCCACGACTTCATTCAGGGCAGACCGTGGCCTCAGGTCAACGAGGGTCTCCGTAACCTCTGGGACCAGGTACGCTTGCTTCCACTCGACCTTCAGCGTTCCCAAACTTATGATCGCAGTTCAGATTGTACGTCGGTCTCATGTCTCACCCTGTCCAACCTCCGTCCAAGAAACGAGTGAGAGCCATCATCCAAGCCGGAGGGATCGACGACCCAGATGAAGATGACGAGGGCGAGTACTCCGACGAGGATGTTATGCCCAACGCCGTTCCGCCACCTAACGCAGTCGACGACGAGGACCTCGACGACCCCGATGCCAAAGATCCCATGCAAGAGCTGGAGGAAATTACTGCGGAGCGACTGTTGAAAGAGCGCCAGGAGAAAACCGAGCAGCAGCGGGAGGACAGGATGGCTAGTTTCATCCGCGATCCGAACACCAATATTCGTATCTTCCTCTCATCTTACTTCAGGGACCAAGGCCTTATATGGTCCGAGCCTCGTTGCCGCGATGCGCCTCTCCTCCTCTTGTTCTGGCTCAAGTATATGCTACGGAGTCGTGCCTTAGACGCTTCTGTCGACGGCGAAGATATAATTAAAAACGCGAAAGGAGCCATCGAAGCCGCCGAGATAGTAAGAAATGCTATTTCCACGTATCAGAGTTGTAATGACTTTCATTGACAGGCTAAGCGGGAACTCCCTGCGACCCACAAGATCGCCCACGCATTGCCCTGTCAATTCAGCCGCGGTTCTCGAGAGCTCTGGGGAACAAGGTGCATAACATGGGAAGACATGGAAAATCAGTACGGCGGGAAGAACACCAGCATGACCGCCGCCGCCACCTTCGCCTCCTCGGAAGACGACGACCAGGACGCGAAACGGCGCAAGCTCGACATGGACGAAATGGACGAGGAGCAGCGGTTCAAGAAGGAATTGGCGGACAGCGGCGTCGAGCTTCTCGACGCTAGTAACGACGTTCACATGCACAACGATGCAGCGAAGAGAACTGCGCTACAGGATAACGTGGATCCCGAGAACGCCAAGGTAGCTGCCGATGAGCCCGCTCCATCTTCTGGTTGGGGCGACATCTCTTCATGGGGCGATGGTGGTCAGGCGTATGTGTCTCCGTCCGTCGCGGGCGTTGAAGGCCTCAGTGACTGGGGAAAGCCCGTTGCAAAGCCGGTCAGTGCGCCCTGGGGAATGGCGGACGAGAAGACGACCGAGCCTGCCAACCCTCCGGACTCGCTGTCGAACCCCTGGGACCAGAACGACCCTGCTAACAAGTCCGACTGGGACATCGGACCAAAGGACTGCCTGCTCGCGGTGCTGGGTCCAACGGTCTTCCCGCTCGTGTTTGACACGGGTGTGGTGGAATGGAGTACCAGGCGCATTGTGCGCGTGGAGCCTCCCGCGGCGTCGACCGTGGACTTGTCGGGCTTGACTCCCTCTGAAGTCGTGGAAGAAGACTTGAATGCGAGGCTAGGCAAGGTAGTCATGGCTCCGTGGCCTGGTTGGGACAAACACGAGAAGTCTGACATCACCAGACCGGTCATACTGCCCAAGTCCAAGGGCAAGGTAATCATGCCGGGCGATGCTCAGGCAGATGAAAGCAGCGGCAATGTCAAGGCTCATAACCCGGTTGAGGATGAGATTACGGTTCTCGTAGACCCGGCTGGTCTGGATAAGCTGGTCATTGGTATGGGCCTTGGGGCGACGTGGATCCAGATTGTACCGCAGGACGAGACTGAGGCTGCGAAGAGGCGTTCGCGACCTGGTCAGTATTGGTACATGGAACAGATGATGCACGTTCTTCCTAGCTTCCATACCGAGGCCTGAGGAGGCCTGAGGGTTGACCCCAGATGTGGCTTTGCACCTGCTTGATTTCTCTGAATTGTACTATAGTCTCCCCTTACGTGGAAGCACTTATGGCGACGTGCAATATATTTTGCATTTGAATCGATCCAATAATGCATTGGTTTTGCGCTCTATTTACATGAAGGTCCAGGCATACTTGAACGGGGAATCCTCGGGGAATTGATAATGATATACCTAATCAGAGGCACGTGTTTATCTCTTTTGAAATTTGATGCCCGGCGGCGGCTGGCGGGGGTTTCTCGACGCGATGCATTTCATGAGATTTCATGATCACTCTCAATGAAGCCGCCCACCCTGGTCTCCCTTGAGGACGCGTCCAAGATCCCCGGAAATGTCTCGCCAGAAGTGAAGCAGGCCGCAGCAAGTTGGCTGAACCTGTTCTTCTCCCGGAATGCCGATACACCTGCGTTTGCGGACAGTGTGGGGAAGCGCCTGAAGCTGACCGAGGTCTCCATTAATCCCAAAGCGGATGAGCCAGGAAAGACAGAGTGTAAGGTGGTATGCGAGATCACTGTTTCATCTGGTATGTCTCAGGCATTGTGGGATGGAGCGTACCGTAATCTTCTCGCGGGGCAGATATGCTCAATGGTCTTGGGAGTTTGCACGGTGGATGCTCTGCATATCTCATTGATGAGTGAGGCTATTTCACTCCAGCCAGTCCATTCCGGAGTGTTCTGACACGACTTCGCCTGCAGCTGCTCGTCTCTGCCACTCGCCGCGTACTCGCTCGTAACCGGCGGCACAGGGTCTCCCGGAGTATCGCAGTCGCTCAACGTCGTATACCATGCACCTGCCCTGCTGTGAGCTCAACGTGCTACGTTAATTCTGAAGATGCCTTACGCCCGTTTTTGGATCTATCCAGAGGAGACAAGCTGAGGATCGTCAGTACGACCATTGCTGTCGGCTCTCGGATTATGTCTGCTCGCTGTGAGGTCAGTATCATGTTACCTCCCTTCAGCCACTGACACATATGGGTGACTAACGTTCCCATAGATTTGGAATGACACGCACCATCGCCTGGTTTCATCGGGCGTGCATATCAAGATGGAGCCATCCTCCAAACTATAACTACCGGGCTTCGTGGTCTTGTCGATACAGGGCATGTAGGGGGGTTTCTTGGTTAATTATGCTGTTTCTATATTCTGTGGTACTACATAGGCAATCTGGACAAGTGGGTTGTGTAATAGCGGTCTAAACCGCTGAGTCCATGTCCACGACCGCGGAGCTTGAATCTATCTGTGAATGCCTTCTCGATCACTCAATGCAACAGCAACATCATGTCCGCCGATGGTCTTGGGAAGCTTGCGTCTCTCTCAGAGTGCGAAGACGTCGACTTGATCTTGCATACGCTGCATTGCATTGAGCCACCCGGCGACTGAGAGCGCCATGTCGAACACGTCGAAATCGTCTGAAACGATGTCCGCGTCCTGGACTCGTGCTCTGCCCAAGGCGCGATACTATGACTCGAGGAAGATCAAGTCGAACATATCGCTGGATGACCTGCAGCTCAACCTCAATATCCTCCAGCACTTTGTCAACGAGGGTCATGTCTTTGCGAACTTCGTGGGCCAGAGGTTCGACATCACAGACATGAACGTGTACGATCGAGAGGTGGGGGAGGCCAAGACGAAGGAGGCGGTTGTGGTAGTTGAGATCACGGTCGACAAAGGTAAAGTCCTACTTATCTGAAGCGAATGGGAGACATTAATTGTGTGAGAGCAGATATGTCCAATCCATACGGGACACTCCATGGCGCGTGTGCTGCATACCTGGTCGACCTGTGCGTGAACCGACAATATCTGACTTACTTCCCGTGAGACTCAATAGTCCTTCTCTCACATCAGATGTACATCCATGCCCCTCATAGCGCTGGGTATCGCAATAGGAATCGACGGGTCAGGGATGTCGCAAGCAATGGACATCGTTTACCACAGCGCCGCTCCCGTGTGAGTCCCACAAGACACTCCCTCTTTTCTCCATCAATCCGAAGTCTAACGCTTCCACGACGCTAGGGGTGCACGCCTGAGAGTCGTCGCGACGACGCTCACGATTGCCGGACGCATCATGGCAGCGAGATGCGAGGTGCGCTTGTTCGACTCCCCTGTCCCGGGCCGCGCTGGGCATATTCATACTAGCATCTGTCTGACATCTGTTTGCGTTTTCTAGATTCGCAATAAGAAGAGCGGTGCACTCCTCGTGTCTGCTACCCACACCAAGGTCAACCCTTACGCGAAGAAGGCGAGTGAGAAGTCGAAACTGTAATTTTACTTGCATAGGTCCGGATTGCTGTGTACTAGTAGGTTTGCCTCCGCTCAATATCATGCTCCACGAGTGCGTTGTCTTCTATCAGAAGCAGTTTCATCCCTGTGGCGCGGGTTCTACAGTACCCGGCCGTTACTTCTCCATACCCTGCAAATACGTCCGAAGCTTGTCGAGCGCTCTATATCTGTGCGATATGCGGTTCTTGTCCTCAGGCGCCATCTCGGCATAACTTATCGCCCAAAATACCACAAGTAGGAATGTACATGTAGGAATGGAATGCGAAATGAGAAGGCATCAGCTGTGCACAAAACCCCTTGGCGATGCGCGACTTACGTCTTGCCCGTGTCCTCTGCCTGGAATATCGGGTCCCAGCCAAAGACGGCGGGCCCCCGCGCCGGGACGATTGTGCCTTCCGTGCGGCCCTCGAAGAGGAGCGGCTCGGTTTCTGGGCCGGCGCTGTACGCGAACGTGCAGAGGGCCCACGCTTCTTTCGTGGGGAAGCCCTCGAGAAGCGTGTTCAGGCCTGGAGAGGTGGGCTGGGCGTAAGGTGGGGAGGGAAGGACGGCTGGAGCGGTGGGGACGCACCGTCATGCCCGAGTTCTTTCATGAAGTGTTTGATGTAAGGCCCTGGGAGGCCATTCAGGGCTTTGAAACACAGCGCAGTGTCTTCGGTGATGCAGGGGCCCCCTAGCTTATCGTGGTTGTGATATGAACGGGGAAGACGCGGGAATGGTTGGAATGGCGTACGAGCTCAGCGGCGCGTTTGCATTTGGCTACGGCCACTTCTTGCGTGGTTCCCTGGACTTCTGGAACTGTAATGGGAGATTATGAGAATGGAAGTAGGGATAAATGGGAAGGCGAACTTACTATCGAGGTCTCGCGAATCTATTTCGATGGCTTGTCCCTGCGCCAGGATTGCTCGAACTTCTTTGAGCTTGTTGGCGTTGCCTGTCACGAATACTACAAGCCCACTGTCAGACAGATATCGGTGTTCCTCCCTGTGGACATCGTACCCAGCTTTTTGGACATTGTGCGGAGATGGGTGAAGTGATAAACGCGATCCTGTGATGTGATTTGACGGTCCTTGACTGGATTTTATACTACACTGGCTATTCGAGTCACAGTTCTTGTCCAAGTTCAACCTGTCCGATCTCCTGAATCAGAACAAGTCATTATCGGGTCTCCGCGGTTTGCTGAAAGACGCCCGCTTTGGGTTAGTCGATCTTTTCAGATACTACACTAGGGCGTAATGACATTCGATGTTACCGTGTAACTCAGAATTGTTATATCAATACAAGCACAAAGTCTGCCGCTTATGCACACAAATGAGCACAGCCCATGGAGGTACTTACATAGCTTCTTTGACAAACAATACGGACTTCATGGATGACTTGCCTCAATTATTTAGATGATTTCGTTGTGGCAGAACCCTAAACTAGGGCTACAGCACTACCTATTCCAGTCGTCTATGGCACGACCTCCAGCCAGCGCACAGCGCTCGCCTATTCTCCATCAATTGTCCCGTACTTTCCTTTGGTTTTCTCTGATTTCTACCTTCGGCCTAGGCGCTGGTATGATCATACGTCGTCCATAGCACTCGCCCAACCTCCAAGTGCGTTTCACAGTCGTAATACAGCGTAAATCGATCGAATAATCCACGTGCGCTGGCTGGCCAAAAGTACTCTGATCGTGCCGTCATCCGTGCCTGCGACTGGCAGCTGAGGGCCTCGAGGACGTCTTAGGCAGCGTCGAGCACTCACACGCTTCCATTCCCTCGATATCCCCGGCCTGCGCGACAGCCAATAAACCTGCTCATCTTCCTTCCCTCCTGATACCGACCACACTCTCCTTTGCTCTCTTTCGAACTTTCCACGACTGGGCGACCGCAGTGATGCCCGAGTACGTCTATGCGCTCCACGATTTCGCCCCGGAGCACGACGACGAGGTCCCGTTCCGCGCTGGTGAGCGGATAGAAGTGCTGGAGAAGGATGACTTATATGGGGACGGCTGGTGGCAGGTGAGTCTCCGTCGTACGAGTTCTAGGAACGGGCGAAGGGATCAATCATGGACGAATCTATATATTCCCTGTAGGGTCGAAATCTCGCGGGTCAGACGGGTCTTTTCCCTCAAAGCTATACCACCCCTGCTCCTCCCGCTGCTTCCGTGTCTCCTCCGCACTCATCGGCGGCGCCTCCAGCGCCAGCGCCAGCCACTGGCAGCAGCTCCGCCCTGCAAACACTATCAGAAGAGCCCGAATCGACCGCGGCCAGCCCTCCTGCTACGACAAACGGTAACCACACAAGGGCGGCCAGCCAGGGCGAGGAAGTTATGCGGGCAACTATGACAGATGTGCAGCAGGCTATCGAGCAGCTGGGCCGGAGCGATCGGGACGGTGCGCGCAGCTTCAGCTTCGCGAGTACGCGCGAGGGCGACGTCACTGATCGAGAAAGCGAGAGCGAGGCAATGCTGGAGTCCGATGCAGAGGGGGAGAACTGGCACAAGGACGCGCGGCAGAGGCTGGCGGAGCAGGCGAGAAGGGCGAACGAGCGGGCTGCAGCGGCTGAAGCTGCTCAGCTGGAGAGCCTGCGTGCGTCGGGCCCGCCGATTGAAGCTGAGATGAGTGATGAGAGCGAGGACGAGGACGAGGGCTCTCCGGACCTCCGGCGGCACTCGCACATCACAGAGGAGGACGAGGAAGATACGGGTCCAGCGATCATGGCTATTATCGCGAATTCAGTTGCAGAAGAAGCTCCTAGCATGTCATCCCACGAACTTTATCTCCCCCCGACAGACGAGAATGAGGCTCAAACTGCTACAGCTAGAAGGACGTCATTCCCGGTTATATACCCCCCTATCCAGGCTTCAACAAGTGCAGAGAACGTTGCTCCTCCAACACCTACGTCCCCCATGTCGTCACCCTTGCTTATCCACAAGGAACCGTCGACGAACCGGTTGTCTGTTGAAAGCAAGACTGCTCAGAGTTCCACCACCGCTATAGTATCCACCTCCGCAACAATGCGGGACGTCACACCCGGCCTTCCTTCGCCATCCGCCTCGTCCATCCAGATGCCGCAACCGCAGACGATTGTTGTGACTTCTGCACCTGCGATGCCACCTGCCCAGCATGCAGAACCCCCGGAGTTAGCTCCCACGTCGGACGAATTGCTCAAGAAGCCCTCCTCGCATCCCACAGATTGGACAGTGGAAGAAGTTGTTGAATGGCTCAAATCGAAAGGGTTTGACCAGACTGTATGCGACAAGTTCATCGGTAAGCTTCACCTTAAGGTACACTAAACACTAATTTATCTATTGCCCTCTTTTTAGAGCAAGAGATTACCGGAGATGTCCTCCTCGAACTAGATGCTAACCTGCTCAAGTCAGAGATCGGGATCGCCGCTTTTGGGAAGCGCGTCCGGATAGCCAACGCTATCCAGGAGCTACGCCGCCCTCCGTCTATAGTCTACTCTGACCATCAGCCATCGAACATCATCACGCAAGCCTCGCCCTCACAGCCCTCACAAGGCTTCTCCCACTCTCGTTCACATTCTTATTCACACTCTCACTCCCACTCGATTCAGAGCTCGGCGCAGAGCGTCGGCCGGAGCCCGACTACGCCGGCCACAGCCAACACGATGAGCACTGCGCCCGAATCCGCTGGTTTCTCATCCATGATCGGCAGCGACAGCGGCACCGGCGAGTTCACGCTGCCTAGTCCCGATGCTCGACAGAGCACGAAGGAGTTCCTGGAATCTCGCAGGGAGTCGGCAAGATCCAATTTAAACGCGACTGCCGATCAGGATCAGACGAAATTTGGGCTAGGGCTCGCGGTTCCTGGAGAGCCCAATGGGGCGGAGACGAATGGCAAGTCAGCCGTGAGTTTTGTACTATCTGTGGTGTTTGGATGCTGATATCCTGACTCGGTGATACTTGGGCGATTTGGACTAGAAGAACCGTCCGCCGCAACTTACATTATCGCCGAGTGATGGTGCGCTGGCCGCGAAGGCTGCATCGGCCGAGCAGCTGTTGGAAGGCCGGGATGAAGATCGGGCTGCCATGAGCGAGGTATGGAATAGGCTGCATGATCGTCTGAGTCAGTCGTCTGACTGACAATGCTGTGTCTGTATTTGCAGGGTGAGACTGCACAAGCTTCTCCGACAAAGGCGAAGAAGACCGCCCGTCGCATGTTCGGTCGTTCCGTGGACTCCTCGTCCCCTCGGGAAAAGGACAAGGAGTCGTTGAAGTCGAAGGAGGGCGCTTCGCCAATGTCAGCTACGTCCAAGAGGGAATCTAGCAAGTCGGACGAACAGAGCGTCGTCAGTCGGCATAGCAAGGGCAAACGCAGCGTCGATGCAACGAAATCGACAGATCGTCTGAGCTTGTTTGGAGGCACCTTCAGTGGAACCCTGGGCAAGTCACGGAAGCCCCCTCCCAGGTACTCCTCGTACGCGTTCCTATCTGCTGCTTGCGTGCTGTCGTATTGATATCGTTCTCTAGGATCGTTGACAATGCCGACCTAACTTCCGAAAAATCTGGAAGCGGCTTCTCCAAGATCTACGGCGGGGGCAAGAAGTCTTCGGGCCGACCGTCCACCGCGGACGGGTCTACTCCTCGCCAGAGCTTCAGGGACAAACCGAAGTCAAGTCCACCGAAGGAGGGTGAGAAAAGACCTGAGCGCTTACGCAAACGCACTATCTCAAGTTCCGACGCAGTTGCTACAGCGCCGCGTGGCCTGGTGGGTAACCAACTGAAGCCCGGGCAGAGCGTCCTTGAACAGATAGGCACACCCGATCACAACGGGTGGATGCGCAAGAAGGGCGAACGCTATAACACGTGGAAACTCAGATACTTCGTGTTGAAGGGGCCGCATTTGTACTACATGCGTAGCAACAGTAAAACCGTAAGTGCTGCTTTACTTGAACGGGAATGCAGAGTGATGTCGTGGGTGGATTTTTAGGAGACCAAGCTGAAGGGCTACATCAATATCGTGGGCTATAGGGTCGTAGCAGACGAGAACGTCGACCCTGGGCGTTACGGATTCAAGATCGTGCATGATACCGAGAGGTCGCACTTCTTCAGTTCAGACGAACAACTGGTCATCCGTGAATGGATGAAAGCTCTGATGAAGGCGACCATCGGAAGGGACTATACAAGTAAGTTTACCCACGTTCCATATAGACACTAACCACATGACGCTCCATTCCCAGAACCCGTCGTTTCATCATGTAATGTTCCTACAATCCCACTCACTGTGGCGCAAGCTATGAACCCGGCCCCTCGCCCACCGTCACCCGGTGCTCGGGCCGCCACGCAGAAGGCTCTTCGCCGTGAAAACCCCAATCAGCTTTCGAGTCGTGACGCACGCATCTTGATGGGTTTGCCCTCTGCTGGGGGCACTGAGAATAAGGAGCCTGACCGTGCGAGGTTGGACTCGGTCTTCGCAGATGACGCGAGCCTGTCGAATGGCGCCGAGCCTCACACTCCCAAGGCCATGTCACCAAAGAGCCCGGTACCTCCACGGCCATCAAGAGAGATGCGCAGGATGAGCACGCCACTATCAGGAGGGGTACGTTAGTTAATGCGACTTCTTCATAATAGCGTCCTTTCTCATGGAGTCTATTGTGCATTCGTCTGATGCACTTTAGGCCGGAGACATCGATCAAGAGCTAGTTGACTGGGCCAATTCACATTTGCCACAAAATCTCCATATTACAGGCTCGGCAGGCTCGCTGTACGGCGGTCTTGCGCTCCTGAGGCTGGCTGAGTCGATCAAGGGGAAGCCGTCGTCTCCTCCCGTGCCTGATTCTGCATTCCCGACCAATCCGAGTGATGACAAACTGGACGGGCTGTTTAGGCTCTTCGACTTCTTGCTCGATAACGACGTGAAGATGGGTACCGTGAGTATCAACGACATTCGTCAGGGTAAACGGGACAAGGTTGTCCAGCTTCTGAAAGCGCTGAAGGCTTGGGAAGACAAGAGAAAAATCCTAGCGCAGTCCATCAGCAATCCTGTTGTACCTTCAGGGGCATTCATGGCAATGGGCGGGCCAGCGGGACCGGGAGGATTATCATGGGGTTACAGTGCATAGACAGGGACTTCTTCGTTTTCAATAGTTGCTACCGGACATGCGTTATAATCTCAAAGATCTGTATTTAGCTCTAATCCTGTGTATACTCGGACTTTGCAGCATGCGTACCTTGCAAATTTTGACTGTTGTTTCCTATCGATAACAGCAGCTAGCCATTCCGAATACAACGTCAAGTTTCGGGATTAGCCGAGACGCACCTCTTCCTAGGACCGCTGCCATTATGGAAACTCAGCTAGTAGAAGCGATTGAAAAATCTTTACTGACGGGTCAATGGATAGACCCTGGCTCAGGTCATGAAACACTTCCCCATATTGATGTGATCAAGAGCGTTGTCGAAGGATCTTTCTCTCATGCCCTGAAATCACCCACCGCCGGCCGCGTATTCGCTTTACGGCCCATCAAAACTTCGGACATAGTCGATGGCCCTATTTCCTCCTGGCTTGACCTCCCTGAAGCGCAGGATATAGAAACTGAAGTTCTTAGACTAGGTTATGCAGTAGCATGTCTCCATGCCTTCCTACAAGCCAACTGGACCGGCCCAGACCTTCAAGTACAGTATGCGGATTTCCTACCTTTCTCACCTGAAACTGCAGAAGCAGCAACTGAAGAGCTGCTGGATCGCAAGGCCGTCTCAGAGCTCTCGTATGGCGGTGAGCCCGCTTACCATCTGGCTAGAGGTCCCCTCTTCCTCCGCTTCGCTCAAATCTTATTGGCTTTGCCTTATTCCCGCTGCTCGACGGCCCCATGGTGGAGTTTACGCACCTGGCTAGTGCATCAGCAGGTTCTCGACGAGCCTGTTGCTGTTCCGGACAGTGTCTTCTCATCGCTTCATCCTCTGATTCCAGCGGTATCGTCCGACCGTGATCTGCTGGGCCAACTGCATCTGGAACAAGGCCTGCTCGAGCATCGTCTCTCAAATAACAAATCAGCGGCAGATTATTTTGCCCGTGCTGCTCGAGCTACCGGGCTTGAGTACGAACTTAGCGGCGCCCTCGGGAGACGCACGCGGTTCCAGCAGAGCGACGTCAGTCAACTCGTGCTACTGGCAGAGAGTCGACCCCGAGGGGAGTCTCCCCCGAGGGAATCAAATTCCGCCATCGCCTCGAAGGATGCGAGGGAGCCGGATGGCCCATCTGCCGGTGCCACCAAGCTTCCCGAATCGCTGGCTCTCAACGATGATACATTATTGGAACAAACCAAGTTTACTTCGTCACAAGCTGCTGATGGGTCTATCACCTCCCGTCTTGGGCATCTTGACCCCGCTGCTCAACCTGCGCTTCACCCACTCGACCAATGCATCCTGCTGTCGTTGTGTCTGAACGTCAAAAATACGTCGCCCGCGCACGGCTTGACGAACGAGGAAATGTCCGCTTTCGTCAATCGTGTGATCGCACATCCAGCTAATTGGTCGGTGCACACCATGGCGCTTCTACTCCGCTCGCGCCTCGAAGCCACCAGGACTCGCACCGTCGAGAGGTCTACCTTGCAATTGCAGGCATTAGTGGACCAAATGCCCACGGCTGATTCATCCGTATCGGAGAGACTCCTATATATCCACGACATCCCTTTACCAAGCCGGTGGGAATTGGAACGCGAGCTCGCTCTGCAATACATTTCCCTCGGAGTAACCAAATCAGCACTAGCAATCTTCGAACGTCTAGAAATGTGGGAAGAGGTGGTCAAGTGTTGGCAGTCAATGGAGAGGCCGGATAAGGGCGTCGCGATTGTCCGGGATCTCCTGGAGGGCCGCAAGGCCGAAGCCGATGTCGTGCTCTCTCGAGGCAAGGAGAGCACCAGCCACCGGAGAGGATTTTTGGATGCGGCGCGAGAGGCCAAGCTGTGGTGCCTGTTGGGCGACCTAGAGCCTGCCAACGCTATCAACCATTATAATCGTGCATGGTCGATCTCCGGGGAGAAATCCGGGAGGGCAATGCGCTCATTGGGCGGATACCACTTTTCGCGAGGGGAATACGCGCGAGCAATATCCTGCCTCCGCCGTGCGGTGGCGATTAATCCGCTATTACACCGATCCTGGTTTGTATTAGGCTGTGCTTGCATACGAGAAGAAGACTGGGAGACGGCACGGCAAGCGTTTTCGCGCTGCGTCGCAATCGACGACGAGGATGGTGAGAGTTGGAATAATCTCGCTAGCGTCTACCTGCGTATGGAAGAGGCGGGGCAAAAGCCAGTTGCCAATGATGAGGTGGGCTGTATAGACGATCCATACACGTGTTTACGTTAACGTCGTATCGGACAGGATGCCGAAAGGGATATGGGCGCCCCAGCAGACGAGGAAAAGCCTGCACCCAGCGTGCCGTTCTCGAACAAAATGCTCGCTTTTAGGGCCCTCAAACAGGGCATCAAGTACCGTTATGACGATTGGCGCATGTGGTACAATTATATGATCGTCTCGATGGACGTCGGAGAGCTCTCAGAGGCATGCCGGGCGCTCGGTCGGATTGTTGAAGAGAGGGCCGGGAAAGATGGCGCAAAATGCGTTGATGAAGTCGTCCTAGAACGACTTGTAGACGCCGTCACCCGTGACCCTACAGATGTCCAGGCTGGGGCTACGGGTGGGCAAGATGTTGCCGCTGCTCATGCTGCCACCAGCGGCCTATTTCGCATCCTTATGGACCTCTTCGAGCGCACGATTTTGCCCCGCGTATCCTCGTTTCGTATATTCCGGGCCTACGCCAAGCTTTTGACTTGGCAGTCCCGGTGGGAAGAGGCTCTTAAGGCGTATTTGGACAGCTACCGATGTAGCACCGCTGGAACGATAGAGAAGGGAGAAACGGATGTGGGAAAGTGGCGCGAAGCCGTGGGCGAAGTCGAGGAGATTGTGGATCTGTTGAGAAACTTCGGACCTCGGGTTGACGGATCCAAGTGGCAGTTGCAGGCGCGGAGCATCGTTCGGACGTTCATTGGGAGAACGAAAGATTTTGAAGACGAGCCCGAATGGGAACGATTGACGAGCTTGCTGGAAGAGTTGCGTAAGGAGGATTAGGGGTTGGACCGCGGTGTAGGTCGGCGCCGATTTGTGTGCGACATTAAAGTATCCGTGATGTCCATACGAAATCCATGTGAGAATTAAAGAAGTACTGTAAAGTCCCTGACCCCGAGACGGTGGTAGGCACATGACGTAGGCAGGGACATGAGGGGAAGTGCAGATAAGTGGCATGGGCGCTTTGTACACAGCAGTAGTAACGGAGTGTTCTATAGTCGGGTCGGTGATGTCCAGATTTATGTGCGTGATGGGGTCGGCAATCTAGACCGCGGAAGTCCAATTCAATGCTCTTGCCATGCGATTTAGTGTCAAGGTTGTCAAAATTTCAGTCACGGTGGCAAGCGCGGAGTGCTTCAGTGTCATTCGCGCGTAGTATTCCACCTCTGGCGGGGCGACTTCCCATGTCGCTACTACGTTCCGACTGCTGTCGACGCACTGCGGATAGATGAAGACGTTGCTATGGAACAATATAGCCGCAGAACGTGCCACTTACCTCCATCCTGTTCTGAGAAATCCTCCACTTGAAATCCTTGCCGTTCTGTGCTGTAAAATATCGAGATCTTCACGGCGTCAGCGGCGTGGATGTCTCGGAAGAAGATGAATATTAACATACGTGCTGCCGTCTTTCTTCTGGCGTAGCGAATTCAGCATGGGTTGCGTCGGACCATTGCCATAGACAAGATAGCCAGGAGACTTGGCTGGACCAAAGTAGAGATATGAATTACTGGGGCCCATAATGTCAGGATGTAGCTGCGCCCATTCCGGCTCTCTGGATAGCGTCTAATACCATATCAGCCGATGGGCAGGAAATCGGATAGGTACGCACCATTATGAGGTTAGGGTTCTGCTCGAACTAAAAAATACAGACACATAAGCCATAGGTCGAGTGTCGAGTACGAGGACGCAGTTACCTCAGACCTGTATTATAGCCGCGCGAAATGAGACATACGTCCATCATGCCCTAGGCTATCGTGAGCCACTCACACGGAGAACGCGAAATGACCCTCCAAATCCTCGAACGAATTTTCGAAGGGGTCTTCACCGTACTGAAGGAGGACGTAGGAGGAGGTCATGGTAGAAAAGCAAGGGACGGGGAAAACAGATGAAGTGAGACGCCATTGATAGTCCTGGACACCCTTTACATGGTACAAGGACTCGGAAGCGCACAACCGAAGTGCCGCCACAGCCACAGTCCCGCGTGCCATCCACGAGGTCGCACACACGTGGCGGCCATCTAGATAAGAAATTTCGCGAAGCGCGCTGTAACGTACGCCGGAAAGGCACCGTTCTCAACGGTTTCAGGCTCGTACCGTAACGCGCTGGACGACGGCCTCGCAAGTGTGAGCGTTCACCACGCATGGCGCAGGTCCCGTTGTAACCGGCCGTTCTTGTTCTCAGCGTACCCCGCGCGCTTCACATTCAAGCTTCACTTCAAGCTTCAGGTTCTGAATGCGTCTGAATCCACATCTTGAGAAGCAGTGATTTCGGTAACTCACAGAAAGTCTCCATCAGCGCATGAACGATCGATTGGTAGAGATTACGGATCCGAACGATCTATGTCAAGTGTTACTCTGACTTACAAGGCAGCGTCATGAATACTCGACGGTTGCTTTACCAGGCAAGGTACCTGGGCACTCAGGGCGCCCCACCTAATGCAAATATACGCATTTCTTATTCGCGACCCTCGACCGCAGTTGTCACGTTGGCCCTTGAATGATGACAAGAATCGAGGTCAAATAGAACCTGAAACATGCAGAGGTTGTGTTAGCACGACATACGACAAATCGTAAGGCTCTAATATCCAGAGAACGTACGGGACATGGAGTGGAGAACTGTCTCTCTCTCGCACGCCCCGCGGATTAGTCGTACACTATGAGGGAAGGTTAGTCATCCGATCGCTCTCTACGTAAAGTCCGTTATACCATGTACGATACCTGCGCAAATCAGCGCAAAGCGGATCAATCACTATACGGGGTAACTGGCGAAATAGTCGCGGCTCACCAAAAAATAGTGTCCACGTCAATATGAAAGAGAAGATGTTGTCCTGGCCTGGGTTCACGAGCTCCCAAAGACCTCCAGGGACATATTTCGCTGGTCGTCCCTTGCAATTAATGACATATATGCACGCAGAGGTCACCAGAGTGGACGCGATGAACAGCGCGAAGCCGAGCCAGTTCTGTAGGCCCAGTATTCCGGCAGTCGCACCAGCAAGGCAGGCCGAAAGGAACTTGACGGTCAACAAAGCACTATTGTGCTTGATATTTGGCAGATAAATCCGCTGCGCCGCCGCATCTGCGTTGGGCGCCGACATCGTCGTTGACGGGGAGGGCGAAGGTCAAGTTCAGGCTGTTCTATACGACGCGCCTCGGCGGAGTACATTGATGAAATTCCCACGATCCTCGTAAGGATTATCCAGCTGTGGCGGGAACCATTCAGTGCAGCATTTCTCTCCCTCGTACCCCTTGCACGGTCCACCCGCGCTGGCCATGCTCCCCGATCGTCAAGTTAAAGTCGGCGTGCTGGGTGCGACGGGCACTGTCGGGCAGCGATTTATCTCCCTGCTGGCGAATCATCCGTTTTTCGTGGTAGCTGCCTTGGGTGCCTCGGAGAGATCTGCGGGAAAGCCGTATGCGAAAGCAGTCAACTGGAAACAAACAGTGCCGATACCCAGCGCCGTCCGCGAACTCGTCGTCCAGCCGTGCAAGCCCGAACACTTCCAGGATTGCACGGTGGTGTTCTCGGGCTTGGATGCAGATGCAGCCGGAGATATCGGTGAGTGAAACCTTTCTACTCCGTCGACATATATTTACATCAAGGATTGTATCCAGAGGCTGCGTTCAGGGCTGCTGAGCTGATCGTATTTTCGAATGCGAAGAACTACCGGAGGGACCCACATGTGCCTCTGATCGTCCCCCTCGTAAACCCCTCCCACCTCTCCATCATACCCCAACAACGAGCCCTGCATTCGCCACCTCTTAAGAAAGGATTCATCGTCACGAATGCAAACTGCTCCACGACAGGCGTCGTGATCCCTCTTGCAGCCATGGAGAAGGCCTTTGGCCCGATCGAATCATGCATAATCACTACAATGCAAGCCATCTCCGGTGCGGGCTACCCAGGTGTAGCCAGCCTGGATATTGTCGACAACGTCGTGCCCTACATTAGCGGGGAGGAAGAAAAGATCGAGTGGGAGACGCTCAAGATCCTCGGCGGGATCACGGAAACCGATGACGGCAAGAAGGCGTTCGACATGCACGCGCGGCACCCACTACGCCTGTCCGCCTCCTGCAACCGTGTGCCGGTCATTGACGGTCACACCGAGTGTGTCTCTGTTCGCTTTGCGCGGCGACCCCCGCCGAGCCCCCAGCAGGTCCGCGAGGCGCTGGCGGCGTACACGTCCGATGCGCTCTCATTGGGGTGCCCGTCGGCCCCACGGCATACGATATTCGTGCACGAGGAGCCCGACCGGCCGCAACCTCGGCTTGACAGAGACTACCAGAACGGAGCGGGCGTCTCGGTGGGGCGAGTGAGGCAATGTCGGGTGCTGGACATCAAGTTTGTGGTTCTGTCGAATAACGTCTGCATCGGGGCGGCGACGAGTAGCATCATCAACGCAGAGATTGCTATCGCAAGAGGGGTTATTCAGGTTTAGACATCCGTACATTATTCATAGGGAAGACATCGCATTTGATACATTGTACAAGTTATTATGTTGCAAGGACCGCTCACCACACTGCTAATTTGAACTGGTCTGCTTTGCGCATTACAGTATCTATTCGCTATGTTGCCCATTATGACTTGCGTGCCGCTGGAGGATGAGTCGTGGAGATTGTATTATATCCTCTTGTGGCCCCATGCCAGAGGAACATGCGATGGGTATACTGATCGTGTCCAAAAGTTGAATACCCTGTCAGTCTATAGCTACATCTTCGCGCAGCTGTCCAACTTCAAGTTCTCGGCCCTAACCGAGTGCCATTCCTCCCGAAGTTATGGCGGCAGCGGTAGCATCCAGCTCCACCTCAGAGCAAGCTGCTCTCAAAGCAGCAACATTCCAGCGACTGCACCCACGAATATACCTGGAACGGTTTCTTGCTGAAAATGTCCGACCGGACGGTCGGAATGTTGACCAGTGGCGCGACGTCACCGTGAACGTCGGTGAGTGAGCGCGTTTCGTCCACACATTCCTGGTTAGCTGCTGAGGAGGGAAGACAGGATCTATTACGACCGCAGATGGGTCTTCGTTGGTGCGAGTTGGGGACACGACGATCGTCTGCGGGGTGAAGGCGGAGATTGCTGAACCTGAGCTCGACTACCCTGAGGAAGGGTACATCGGTACGTTACTTGAGATTTATGAACAACGCATCACGCTTAAAGCTATATGTTGCGTTATCAGTACCCAATCTTGACCTCCCAGCCATATGCTCTCCTCGATTTAAGCCGGGTCCTCCGAGCGAGGAAGCTCAAGTCCTCTCGGACAGGCTGAACGAAGCATTTCTCGCGTAAGACCCTTCAACTTCTAGTAGTAGTACCCCAAGTTGACGCTAGAGCAGCTCGGGAATTGTCGACACATCTTCGTTGAGCATCCGCAGCGGTAAAGCAGTTTGGGTGCTATACATCGACGCGACATGCATCAACTACGACGGAAATGCCTTCGACGCAGCTTTGATTGCGATGGTTGCGGCGCTTAGGAATAGTGGGTTTTGGTTTGCGTCTGACATACTAATTCATACTAATGTGTCTACAGCTCGTCTCCCGAGGGCCACATACGACGAAGATACAGGTCGAACCATCTGCTCCCGGAAGGAAAGTATACCGCTTCGGGTGAACAGTTCGCCACTGTCAATGTCCTTTGGTATCTTCGAATCGTAGGTCCCATCGTCTCTAAGCTCCCATACCGTCGTCCTCACTGTCACGCAGATCCCATCTTTTAGCGGATCCCACGTCCTTCGAGGAACCACTGTTGGATACCACAGTAACAGTAGTACTGAAGGAAGGTGGTACGTTGGTGTCCGCGATTCAAGTGGGCCTTGGAGGGACAGGCTCGCAAGATGTTCTCATGTCATGTATTGCCGCCGCTAAAAGACGCCTCGCTGAAGTGGGCAGCCAATTCTATCTTTCATAAACTACACACCAGCCAGTACCGTGAAAATATGCGCAATTAAGTCGGCAAGCAATAGAAAGTACAGTAGGTTACAAGGCACGTGACTACTATGTGATCCGCATACACTGTAGGTTACGTTATATACAGCATAATAATAGTGAAGTCACACGGCGGGCAAAGCAGGTGTCCTTTTTCCGGACGGCAGGAAAAAGGACACTATGTCCTTTCACGGCGACCATCAGTGGGTCAGGAAGTAAATCTGTCACGATTGCGTCATGGTCGTGACAATGGGTCACGCAGTCTGCATTTATAATATGAAAAACCCTCGGACGCTCAGTTTTACAAAGCGAAGCATGCCATATGACCCGATAGGTGACTTTCCGTCCATATTCGGACCTTAGGCTCCCACCCGAGACTCCGAGAGTAATGTGACTGTTACAAGCAAGTCACCCATTACTGGGTCTGCTTGAGCAACTTCAAGTACAAGTCCGTCTCATCATCTGATACTGCAGCAGTGGTGCCATCCGGTAGGAGATATGTGCAAGCCTTCGCCAGCGACTATTCATGGCCGATGCATCCTTGATTTTGCCGGTCAAACGACTGCTCCGACATATCTGCCTCAGCATCGTATAGTCG